GTTAAATTTAAGAAACAACCCACTGTTAGAAAGCTGAATGGCTACGCTTTAAAATGAATGTAAACTTTAACGTTTTCGTCTATTATTTGTTTAGCAATTTACATTTCAGTCGAGGATTGCGCTTTTTTTGATACACCCTGTATACTGCAGTATAGCCAAGAATGACATCCTTTCCTGAAGCGTGTGTTAATTCAAACTCGCGAGTAACACTGTTACAAAAGAATTATAAATGTATAATAATTAATATCTATTCTATTCAATTGAAGATAAATGTTTTCTAACTGAATTATTTTCCAAGCAAATTAAGGTTTGAAACGTTCATTAACTTTATTAGCCATTGTTTATCGTCCTTAACGTGATGTGATATGATTTTATGCTCTTTTTCATTCAATCTATAATACTAAATACTCCTTTAAATAAATATATTAATATTGCTAATGTTGGAAATTATATTAAACTCTAAGTATCTAAAGACCCTCTAGATCTCTAGCCCTTCGTTCCTGTTCTCGACTTGATGGTTTTAACGACTTTATCCAGGTTTTCTCTTGTCAAGCCATCTTCCAAACTAACATAAATTAAAGGCGCGAAGGGCATCGCCATTGGTCCTTCTGGAGGCCACTTGAGTGATTCAAATAAAACTGGTAGAATTGGTTTCTTCAATACATCCGCCAAGGCAACTTCTTGTTGGCAAGCATTTGATTCGCTGTATGCTTTTGTCACACATGATATTACAATCTGAAAGGATATTACAATCTAGATCTGAATATATAAATATATATTCCTTGAAGAAATTTATCCTCAACATATCTGATTCACGCGATTTGAGTCACAGTCCTGGCTAAAGGGGATGGACGAGAAATTGATTTTCAATTCGATGGCGGCTATATTTTTCAAGATCGTTAAAACGCGGATAAACGATCAGGCACTTACAACAATCCTAATTACCTTACTCTAGTTACTCAAAACCTTCCCCTAAACTTAATCACAATCCTAACCCTGACATCAACCCTAGCAACCCTAAAGTAAAGCGAACTCGGAGTTAAACTTTTGAACTTCTTGAAAACCTCCCTCTTGTCCATCCCTTTTAGAGTGTGCTATTTCTAAAGAGAGCTAAATGGAATAAACATCCCTTTTAGAGTGTGCTATTTCTAAAGAGAGCTAAATGGAATAAACTTCTGAAAACCACGCCCGTGCGTTTCAAATAAAACGTCTGCTTTGCAAGGTACGTTAGAAAAGCAACAACTGACCTCAAAAAGGTCACTGGATAACGCAACCCATGCATTGCTCATTCAGTGAAGAAAATGAAGGCAGTTTTGAATGGGTAAAATTACTTGACAATATTATTGCGCCATTATCCGTATGGGGAAACCTTTACTTAAGAGGCACAGTTCAGCGTGTTGAATGATGGTTTTTAAGGCGCATTGCAACCCTTTTAATTGACCATTTGCGTAATAGACTAAATTTTGAACTAAACAAGTCTAGACAAAATGTTGTAAAATGCGGAAAATATAGCCTTGCGAAATTTGCAATTTTCAGTCATTTTAGATTACAGACGGGAAATTGATACCCTGGTTCCAGAGGTTTAAAATAAACCTCTGGTTGAAAGCGGCAATTGATTCATCGAGCCGCGCCAATCAGTTTGAATTAGGGTCAGATCCTGACTCTGTCTCCTGATTGGATGATTGCATTAAAGCTCTCTGATTGGTTATAGATGTTTTATTTGAATCAATCAGAGAGCTTTAATACAATCACCCAATCAGGAGACAGAGTCAGGATCTGACCCTAATTCAAACTGATTGGCGCGGCTCGATGAATCAATTGCCGCTTTCAACCAGAGGTTTATTTTTCCTCTCCCCTTCGCAATGAAAATAATAAAAATAAACCTCTGGAACCAGGGTAGGAAATTGACAGCCCCAAACCCTTCGAGGCTGTCAATTTCCGGTTTGTAATCTAAAATGACTGAGAATTGCAAATTTCGCAAGGCTATATTTTCCGCATTTTACAACATTTTGCAAACGAAACTTTGGAATATTACTAATTTTGTGATGCTCTTTCAAACTGTAATGAAATTTTTGTTGAGATCAAAAGTTAGTCTATTACGCAAATGGTCAATTGAAAAAACTAACTAGAAAAATCAATCAGTAAGCATGATTCAAGGTCAGTAAACTTTTTTTAAATCTTTAAATTTTAGATCAGTAAACTCAGTGTTTTTGACATTAAAAATGATGAAAAATGTTCAAAACATTGAAACCACTGACCTTGAATTATGCTTAATTGATATTCCTTAAAAACCATCATTCAAAAGGCTTTAAAACGTCGTACAGATATTTTAAACAACAACAATCACATTTGACATTTATGAAGCATCTGAAGCTGTATAATTAATACATTTGAATTAATTAATTAATCACTTGGTAATGGTTGACAATACTCAATCGCAAGTATACATTACCGCTTACCAGAAATTAGCAACAAAATGGCCATGCACCGCCTGTGTGTGTTAATTTGCATGTCGGAATGAGAATCAATAGGTGGATCCATAGGTGGAAACATTCGACTGTAAATAAATTATGGCAACCCATGATCTAGGCTACTGTTTGCCGACCTCGTCATCAATAAAGCGGTGATTTTCTAAAGTTTCAAACAGCATATTTATATACAGGTCGGGTATTTCTCTGAGCGGCCAATTCGTGTTCAAGGTAATCAACTTTTTATCGACTTTGTTTGATTTGAACTGCCGTTTCCATGCGATTTGCTTTGAGATTGTTAAAGCTGTTTGATGAAACAGAGTGTAGAGAGCATAGGTAGAGAGTAATCTACTAATCTACGTTATATCTAGACTAGATCTTGGACAATATTGCGAAACTTTGTTATGGACAAAATGACTGCCTGTTTATTGATTCAAAAATGACTGCTTTATTGATTCCGAGGTTGGCAAACAGTAGCCAGGTACGTGGCGGAAATTCACTTTTTCCAGTGGAGTGGGGGGGGGGCAAAGTCTCCTAAATTTCCGACAAAACTTTCAAATTTCCGACGATCCCTCCCCCCATTTGCATTCGAAAAGACTGTTTTTAGCCCTCTTTTAGGTCAAAATTTCCGAAAATTCGTTAATTTTCTGTTAAGGGAGGTCCGGCCCCCCGCCGCCCCCCCCCCAGATTTCCGCCACTGACAGTAGCCAATCCCGGATTGCCATAATTTCAAGTTAAATTTTCCACCCTATCTATTCCCTGCTTTTCTCTGCCAAAAATAGAATGCATATATGTCATATTATAATGCCTTCGAAATGAGTGTAACAATATTCTTACCTTAGCACCTCTCATCCCTTTATCAATTTCTTTCTTCAAATCATCACCTCCCACCATATTGCCAGTATCCATCCAACATCTGATATTCATTGATTCAAGATTTCTCTTTAATTCCAAAACTTTATCCTGTATGTTCCAGTTGTAGGAAATAAATACTTGAGCTGCCGGTTCTGTCGAGACATCTGCCACAAAACCTGCACAAGTATTGAATAAGTGGATGTTGTTTTGATACTTGCATTATAATGTTAATACGAGAGGTAAGCAATAGGTATTTCCAAGCTGCTGGGTTAAAAAATCTCTTGAAAATTTGAAATCTTTGTCTTTATTATTCATATCAAAAGATAGTACATAAATATAGAGGAACGGACGGACTTGTTAAAACCTGTGTTTAGTGACAACTTGACAACTTTTAAAACACAGTAGGTCATGAACTACCTCACGAACTGACAATCTTACACCATCTTCACTGTCTTACCGACCGTGTCTGTAGGGCGTCTTGTACTACCGCGTATGGCTGTTCAAAGCTTGATTAGCACTATATAACCTTATAAGTTATTAACATTTAACGCGCTGTTTTGGTTTGGGTACATCTGAAAATTTCCGGTTTCTTTCAAAACGTTAAAGTTAAAAAAAGTAAAGCTTCTATTGCCAGACAAGATTTCTGAAAAAAACATCTCTATCCCTATGAATACGCTGTTGACAAGGTTGCTGTGAATTGTTTCGTTAACCTAGGATTTAACTGGCTGTTACGATAATCCGACTGACAACGTGACACCATCCGACAACAGGTGCCTTTACTAATTGGACATAATTCCAATTCAACGGGTTAAATTCAAAATAGAATCCCCTGATCAAGCTAGCGCACAGCACTGTCAGTATGACAAGTATGTAGTATATAGAGGTGTGCATCGGATCGGATTGGACGTTTATAATCCGACAATTGGCTAATGTTTAAAATCCGATCCGAAATTGTCTAATCCGAATCCGATCCGATGAATTCTTCAATAAAATAAATTTGTCATTCAAGTTGAAATATTTAACCAAATAAATATAAAAGCAAGAAATACATGTCAAGAAGCTGACAAAGTGACGTCCAATTGAAGTATCAAACAGTGACAACCGCGATAGGATAATTAATTCTTGCGATAATGCGTCAATAATTAATTCATTTTATTTCGGATATCGAAGTCCGACCGATCAGACTACGAAACAACTTTATCAATCCGATCCGAAATGAATATTTTGGTTCCGAAATCCGAACGAACCCGATCGGATTCGGATCGGATTTGCACACCTCTAATTATGTATAACACTGAGACAAAATTGTCGTCCTATACCTCCACCATCTGTAGCCGTCACAGTGGCACGACTAGGTTTTGTTTCTGGCTCAACGTCGATCGTTTCTAAATAAGATTAAGAAATGTTCATCATCTATGATGTTCATTATGACGTTTGCTTTACATTTCATTGCTGCCAACAACATATAGGAAAGATACTAGTATTGATTTCACTTCCTCACATGAATGCTTAATGTGCCGACAACACAAAAATGACCGTTTAGGTCTGCAATTTCTAACAATAATGACTCAAGGATAGCTAATAGTATTGGACTTATAAAAAAGCCTAATTGTATTTGACTTATAAAAAAGTCACTGTTGAACTTTCCTTGACTAGCAACCTTTTAATTCCACTGAATTTAGCCAACCAAAGTATGATATGAACCTATAATATGAACTATATGCGCTATAGGTTTTGATGTAAATAGCATCCCATATGCAGAACACGAGATTTTAGATGGCTGTGCTACAACAAGTGCTCAGCGTTTGCAGCTCGTTTCCCCCCCCGCTAATTCTGCAATTTTTGCTGCGATTTTAGGCGCGATTTTCTTCTTCTCGACGTAATCGATTGGATGCTTTATGAATGTTGAGATGAGGATACATATAATCAGAACATTCATTACTCATCTACTCGCTCACATGCATCAGAAGTGACGAAAATCGCACTAGAAATCGCGGCTAAAATTACAAGTGTAAACAGGCCTTCAGAAGATTTGAATTTTCAAGTTTTATTACGTGGCATTGTTATAATCAATCACAAAACCTATATAGGTTGGTGGAGACCTATACGCAGTTTGTAAGGAAATGTCACCTTTCAAGCACTTGAAGCAAAGATCAAATGTACATTTCGTGCAATGGTAAGGTTTGTCCTGGGCATCATGCATGGATGTTGCTTGACAACGATCACATCTCCAGTAAGTCATTTTGGGATACAGCAGTTTCGAGTTTGCTTTCTTCAAGGGGTGTGGGTGTGCATGACTCTTGTGGCTTCGTGTACAACCAAAACAAATGTCAAAGAAGCATCCCTCTTCACAATGCCAGGGTAAACTAAAGATGAAACAAATAGAGGCATTCAACAGATCGAATTATTGGAGAAAGATTTGGTTATAGTACTAATGCATGTGCATTTCATTTATGTCATTCCTGCAATATGCAGTTTTATTAGAATTTTTTCTGAAACGATAAGAAGAGTGCTTCTATTACGCCCGCCGCTCACAAGAGTAGCAAAATTTCGACTCAAGCTTGAGTCATTCAATTTAATTGCCTTAAAGAGATACACCATGTCCAGGTACTCGTGCCAGTAAGACAGAGGAAGTAAACCTGTTTTTAATAGTGTGTCCTGCAGGTAACTAGTTTCAAATCTAAACGGCAGCGAGTCAGTAAGGTATTTGCTTTTCCTAATTTTTTTTATAAGGTATATTATAAGGCTGGTGCAGTCCCACTTATGTACAACATGGACGTAATAAGTAATTCATCACAGTTTGCCATGGTCGATAGTCTTTGGCCAGGATTATAGTATCTTGACTTAAAAACTTCTATACAGTAACTCAAAATATTGAGTATAATTACTCATTCAAATTATTTATGAGTAATTCACTCAATTTTTTGGGTCACTGTGGGCAAATTATTTTATTCAACACTGTAAGTTCCAGTCACCGTTTTTGGTGACAGAGTAACATTTTTAGAGTTGATCAACTCTTGAAATTTACAGTGAAGTTTTTACTCTGGTTTCTTTGCAGTGTTCTAGGTATTGTTTAACTCCGCTTTAAAGATTATTTACGTTATTACTGAGCATACTTACTATCCCTGACTACTGTAATTACAGCCACAGTTATCACACCCCCATTTTCCATTGGGATAAATCGCCTTTGCATCACTGACGACGAATCTGTGAGGATGAGTAGTAGTCTTGATTGGTTTTGAACATTCCTCACAAATATCAAGATCACAATCCATGCATCGGTAGGAATGAGTCCATTGCATCTCTTTTGATGTTCTTTTGCACGCATCACATGTCCAACATGATAAACCCTTAGCGGCAGAAAGTTTGGTTGATTCCAAGAAGTACAACGTATGTTTGTGAGCTGCAGGTAGCTTTAGGTAAGCCGCCATTTCCTACCTGTTCATGAGAAAATGTTATAGTCTTTTAAAGTACTATAAGCAAACTTTCCTTAAATAAACTCTTCTGCATGGTAATGCCGATACAATGAAATAGCATGTGCAGCGCTAGGCAACCTTTCCCATAATTCATAAATAAATCCTTCTGCATGGTGATGAGTATAAATATTCTGATAAGTGCAGTGCGTGCACTCCTCAAGAGAAAACGACCAAGTGAATGTTAACAAGCCAAATATTTTCTCCACCGAACTTCGGCTCTCATTAATAAGTTTTTGAGTCCACAGAATAGCTTAATATTCTTCACTATACTCTTACTTATGATTTATAGATTGATCTAAAACAAAACCAAATCTAAATTTTTTTATTAATCGTTAAATATTCCACTATGCACTACCTCGTGTATAACCGATAAGTCATGAACTTCGTGAAATAAAACCTTGGACTTTGCCGTCTTGTCTGTTTCTTGTGAGACGAACCAATGATAAGATTTATGTGAAATCGATTTATAAAACAGCCGCGACCGAGACTTAACAAGACAAAGTTCAATGCACTGAGAGACAGATCTAAGATGAAGTGAAATCTATTCACGAGGCAACCGCTTTGTTGAAACCACATAACCAGAGATTAAACTCAAAACAAATTTAAGCTTGCAGTGCAAACAATTAAATTATATTAACTATACCTATACCTTGTAAAGCTTTGTTGCTCCAAACACAAACAACTGTGACAAGAACAGCATGTACCTGCAAAGACTATAACGAAGAAGCGAAGGTTGGTCAATCTGAACAAACAGGATACACCCTGATTTTTTATAAGCGCATAGATATATGCATTTACTCATGCAGTTGATCCTGCCTTTGAATTAAATTTCTAAAGAATTTTATCCCTGCAAAATGACTTTTCGGTAGTATTTACGTTGACTTTGTGATCAATTGTATACGCTATTTAGATTCGCCTATGGTCACAAACAGGTTTTCTGGTTCGCAAAACTGCCTTTAACACAAGTTTAGTTAGCGTATTTTGTTTAGCATATTACAATGCACAAACAATCCCTATAGACGGTATGAAGTGGGACTTCCAAAGCAATGAATGAATGAATCGTGACTGGATACCAGGGAAGCAAGCATGCAGAACGGCAAAGGCAAAGCAACGACGACGGTTATTCACACAATTCCTGACCTCGTAGAAAAGAAATGAATAATTAAAAGCTCAACGGGAGTTAGAGACGTTTTCCACTACTCACTATGCGGAATTTTTCTTTGTCTTGTGATTTCTCGGGTGGAACTAATTAGAAAAGACAAAGAGAAATTCCGCTCCGCGCGCAAAATTCCGTCTAGTGGAAAACCGGCCTTACGCGCTTTTTACAACAGATTTTCACATCGCAAACATTCCAAGTAGGGACAAGTGGTACAAGAAACTTGCCCAGCAGAAATGATATTAACCAAAAAGCCTTTGTTTTAATTCATGCAGTTGACGTATACGAAAAACTTTTCTTCACAATAATTTATTTGAAGAAGTTTGTTTCGCTGTCCTCGTCGCGTTGCCGGGATCCGTTCTGGATTCATCTTCTGTGTGGTATATTGGTGGTTTGCAATATAGTCCCTTGAGATTTATAAGACAAAGCTATGGCGGCCATGTTGGAGGAAAACACGCTCCAAATACAATAGCAGCTAATGATATTCTTTTGTTAGCGTTCCTCCAACATGGCCGCCTTGACGTCAAGTGCAAACCAAAGACACCAAACTGTTATCATTGCCTGACCTTCAACAATATGTCAATATAATTATATACAACAGAAGTAAAATATACTGCACTATTCAAAGGACACTGCAGAATACCACTTTTTTTCATTTGAAGATTTTATTGGATATAGAAAATATATAATATAATCATATACATGTATGTACAATAATTACTTTGTCTTTGATAAATTATCAATATGAATTAACTGACCAAAAACAGGGCGCTGATAGTTTAGACAAATTGTCCAGCCAACGTGTTTAAATGGCAACTATATGGCAGTTATATTAGTGGAGTTGATCAAAAAATTAATAGCATTCTTGCTGTTTTTCGTCGTTTGTTAAAACTGGTCCTTAAGTTGATTTCCACTATCATTGTTCCCAGGATCTGAGTCTTTTTTAATACATTTAATTGTAGACATGTCAAGACATGTCATATTTTTATTTTATCATTTTTGCAATCATAGTCAAATATATGATGGATTAGGACAAACAGGTATAACTGAGGATAACTATGTTTAACCATGGATAGTTAAAAAAGTGTTTTATGATCCATGGTATAACGGAGGTAACTGTTTTAGATAGTGGAAAACCGGTTTTATCTAAACAACTAATTTCACTATTCAGCTATTATCAGCCAGTGTATTCTACAATCGCTTACATAAATGTTTATATAATTTATAACATATTTATAATATAAAAATATAATGCTACACTAAATAACATATTTATTAGCCGTTAGGCATCGTTCTTGGTTAATAATATATAATTTTGACTAAAATAAAAATAAGTTATAGTATATTAAATGAGAATAAAACAAGACTATGGCGTGTATAAAAACACGGTCGTTTTTTAAAAGAACTAGAAAATAATACAAAGATGTTACACGCTAGTTAAAAATTTTATAGCTGGGTTTCAAGTACTCCTATACGAGGCAGATAGAGGTCAAATAATGAGATTATTTTGTATAAATGCCCTCCATGTGAACTGGAGCCTGGTGAAAGTCACCTGTACAGGGTGTATAAAAAACAAGATCTTTAGATATCTATATTGTTATAATTTGAATGCTATAAGCACTACGCTGAACACAAGAGAATTGAACTTTTAATTACCTGGAGCAAAACATATTTAGCTTAACAATAGATTAATTTCTAAAGGTCTCCTTTTTTATGATACACCCTGTATTATATGTATAAAGATGTTTGAAGCGAAACCAGGACTATTTATAATCGGCTTTCGAATGTTCTCTGGTTCGATATCACTATTTATTGAAGTTACAAGCTTTAGACCACCAAATGCAGTTTTCAGACTTCGATTGTGTAGGAGAAACATTTAAAAGTGAAAACGCAAGAATTTGAAAAAATAGATTAAAAAAAAATATTGATATTCAGTAAACTTTTTACGCGTGGTCTAGAATATTCTGCGCATATAGGAAGAAACTAAATTCGCTCTTTGTTTGTTTCTTTTTAACTCGCAGGCGGGCTATATAGGCAGGCTATAGGCAGGCTAGGAGAAGCGGTCGCCTAGATTAGTCGCGCGGGATCGCTTCTGACCTGCCTGACAGTCCCTCCACTTCCTCTAGCCCGCAAGACCCTCTGTGGAGGTCAGTGATCTGCATTGACATCACGATTTTACAGTTCTTTTGAACATGACAACCATTAATGGTAATATCCTGTAATGACTAGATAATGGCTTGATAATTATAGTATACAAAATCCTATAACTCGCCATTATTCATTTTAATGGTAGCCATTTGTATTTATGAAGGAAATTGTCTTAATTTAACAATTTACGTGTCCGTGAGGACCTTATAATCGTTGTTCCAAATTTGTCAATTTTACCCTCGTGCAGCGAATCGCTGTTTTAAAAGTTTCATGCTACTCTATGTATTTGAATTGAAAATACAGATACAGTGTTACGTCGATTGAACATATACTCAATTGATATCTTAATGGTGGCCGTTATATTTCTTGGCTTAGATTGATTGGTTTTCTGCATCTTCAGAAATATATATATATATATAAACCGAAGTCTTGCAGTTTATTGAAAACATACTGTATATTAATTGGTTATGAACTCGATGGAAATGGAGTGCTTACAGTTCCCAACAATATACCTCAGTAAGTCAACTTAATATTATTTTCATAAAACATGACGTAATAATCATCTTGGTAAAATTGAAAAACTCTTGGTGTGTGATGACTGATAAAATACCAAATTGTTTTGGCAACGTGTGTAAACACAGTCATATATATGTTCAAACGTAAACACATGTTTTGGTAAATACGTTTGGGGCAACGCAACGATATCATGTTAAACTGTTCGTGACAACCGTACTTAAATTCCAGACCGTACGAAAGCTTGTCTTAGCATCAAAGGCTTTGTGATCATGTGATGAACACGCAGTAAAAATCTAAAATTTTAAAATTCTAACTAAGCACCTACAAATTAAGTGGGTACGAAGATAGTGCAAGAACAATTATCGCCGCGATGCTGCAAAAACTATGATTTTTTCCTAAGTAATATTTTTGCTTGATATAGATATATAAGAAAGCTTTGGATTGATAGCAATACCACTACCTGAAAAATACAAGAACTTTTGAAGTACAATAGTATCTTTGAGGTAGTTGTATCCCTATCAATTCAAAACTTTCTTATTATTGCCACTACAGTACCTACACAGACCGGTCAAGTTTGCTTAATATGGCCAATCCTTCCTTGCCGTCGCTTCTTTTTAAGCGCGAGAACAATATGGAAATAACTCAAACTACTACAGAGCAAGCGCATAGATATCTTATATACACTAGATAGTGCATCTAATTATTATGCAATTCAAAAATTGAAGCCGTGATTGCAGATTCAGGATATTCCCATGAAATGAGAAGACTCGTATGTTTTCTATTTCTTAAACAGGGAACTTAAACATTAAGTTAAACCTATTCCAAATACATTTTCAAACTATTCAAATGATCAAAGTTATTGTTGTTTTTTAAGCGTTTATTAGCGAGTGGGAAACTTCAACATGACCGCCATCTATTCAAATGGGGGTAACCGCTGGAATTTTCTTGGCTTCAGTTTTACTAAAAGAGATGCGCTATCTAGTTTATATAAGATATCTATGAGCAAGCGAGTATCAACGTATTAAAAACACAAGCCGAATTAATGAATCCAAGGTGGTTGTGAATATATGCGTATCTTGGATATGCATATATTATATAATATTAATTAATTTCCAGATTAAATTAATTAAAACTAATTTCCAGAAATTCCGGCTTATATTTTTATACTTTTTGAATTATTTCAAAATAATTTGTCACCTATTTTTTGTAAACGGATCACGTGACATATTTATAGTCAATATTTTCATACTGCGCATGATCATGATAGATCAATATCTGAAAAAGCATCTTCTCCATTATTTCCTTCGCTACCTGAAACAGACGGCCTCTCCCCCCTGGAGCTAATTTTACCGTCAATTATATCATCGTGATCAGAATCAATATCCTCATCGCCATCACTGAGAATATGAGTTGAACGAAAATCTGATTTTTCATTCCGATCCAGTCCGTCCACGGTTTCTCCCAGTATGAGGTCGCCATGGTAACGGTTCTCTGCTTCGATTTTTTTCATGTCGTCATCTGATTCAGCGCCAACTCCATCCTCGCGCGGCATTGAAGCCAACGCCTCATCAAGTTTGTTTTTTTCCCTCCGACGATGAATATCGTCACTAATCTGTTCAAG